CTGATATAAATAAAATACAATCTGGTTATACTGACTTGAGCGTGTCATGACAAACTCTTTATTGGAAAATTGTGAAGAAATAGTCGAATATAGAGGGTCGAATATCATACTTCAACTTGTATAGCTACAGTATCATTGGTACATAGCGTTGTGAAGACAAGCCTTTGCTTACCTTTCGCTTCAGCAGTCTCTTTTTCCATGCTTCTCTACGCTTTCCCAGGCGAGCTTCTCTTTCCTCAGCAGTCTCCTCGAGCAAACGTTGTCGTCTTCGCTAGCTCCCTCCTTTTCGCGAGACGTTCGGCTTTCTTGTCGTTTCCTTGCCGCTCTTCATTTGGCTCCATACAGTAGTCCATATCTTTTCAATTGGTATTTGATACAATAATTGTTTTATTAAACTCTTTATAGAGCAAATTGCTTTGAAAGCTGTCAAAGTTTTTTGCAAACGTACAAAATACTGTAGTGCAAAAAGAAAATTATTTTCATGAAGTATCTGTCAGTTGAAGTGGTGATTTGTCATACAACAACAAATTTTAAATTTGACCAATCAGTGTTCGCTATTCATGACAGTCCGCTATCTTTTTGAGATCAGTGAGGATGACCACCCACCCAACACCGTTGGTGACCCACGCCCGCGATATTTGATGAACTTTAGACTTGGCTAATGCTTTCGTTTCCCCGGGTGTAAATAGTCGGGGGGAATTAGTACCCTCGCACGGCGCTTCGCGCCGCCGGCTCGGGGACAAACTACATCCGCTCTTCAATCTTCATTACATTTAATCATTTTATATCTGTCTGCAAATATTTCCCCACTAGTTTAAAGTCATAAGATCCCAATTTAATTGCATATTGTATCCAAAGTTGATGTCGCTTAAAATTTGTATAGATAGAATCGCCTTAGCAAGTTGTCGTCGTTTTAGCCTATAATCTAATGTAATATCGAACTTTATGTGTACTACCGTTCTTGGAACTAAAATCATATGTCGAGGAAAACGCCTGCTTACAATTACTGTATAGAAGAGAATACTGCAAAAGTCGTTGCAAATCAAATTTTGTTGATAGGTTATATTAACATTTATGCTAATCATGCATGTAAGCAGTATAAATACAGTAGGTTCCTATTACCTCCGCCAGGAGGTTATGTAATCATCTGGGTTTGTATGTTTACCTCCGCCAGGAGGTTATGTAATCATCTGGTTACCTCCGCCAGGAGGTTATGTAATCATCTGGGTTTGTATGTGTGTGTGTGTGTGTGTGTGTGTGTGTGTGTGTGTGTGTGTGTATGTGTGTGTGTGTGTATGTGTGTGTGTTTGT